GGATTTACAGTCACAGATCTTATCTGGCTTGGAGAGCTGAGAGGCTGATATCTGCAAAACCTGGCAAGGAGTCTTGGAGAATCACGAACCAATTAAGCAAACTAATTGTCTCCTGTAAACTCCACTCCCCTTTCACTCTTCTTTTGTTTCCTCTGGGAGGGGCCATTCATCGCCAACCTGTGGCCTTACTCCCAAGTCGACCCCTGTTCTTTAGCTCTTCCCTTCGTCTGGCAACTCTGCACATGCGCACACTGGGAACAGGCTCCAGCTGTTCATCTGCCTCACTGATGTCTGACTCTGAAGGCAGCTGATAACTGGCATACAGCTCTGGCCCCCTCTCTGCCTCCGACACAGAGCCCTCATCAGAGCCTTCCCCAGACTCCAGGACTGGCCCATGTTCCTCCCCAACCTCCTCATTGTCCGAATCTGCTGCCAGCTCTGTTGGCTGCTGGTGGGCCACACTGACGAAGCTGCTTGGATGAGCAATGAAATGTCTCAGATCAACCAAGTTTGGTCCAATTGCCATGATTCAACCTTCTGTCAGGGAAATAATTTCTACTTTGGAAACGATTCACCCTCGAGTCATACTACCTGTTCTGCTGATAATCAGGCTGACTGGGACGGAAGGAGGGGTCGTCGGCAGGAGGGAGCCGGCCGGTTCTCCTGTCGCTTTTTTGGAGTGGGGAATACTTGCTTTTTCTCCTTGTTCTCCACTAAAATGGGATCCAAGGACTCCCCAAAAAGTGACCCTCCCCCATAAGGAGCAGATGCCAGATGAAATTTAGATTTGTTGTCTTGCCAGTTCCTGAGTCAGTGGAGGCGCCTGGAAGCCACAGAAGCAGACAACGCTCGAGAAGCGAACTTGACGGAGTCAAGTGTAGCATCTGCTGAGAATTGCGTTGCAGCAATAATCTTGCTCTTTCAGGGTGCGAGCATCCTCAGGTGGTGCGCGCTCCTCCAGTTGCTGCAACCATAACAGTTGTTCTATTAAAAAAGGAAGCCGCTGCTGCTGGCTTAATTGCCCATGCCAGTGGTAGCACCTCCCATTCCCATCATTAGAATCGACGTTCAGGTAAGTACCAATGTTCATTTGGTCCGGTTGCCATGATTCAACCTTTAGACAGAGTGACCAAAAGTGGACAAAAAAGCAGTGAGTACTCCCAACTTTCTGCCAGCTTCCCCAATGAAATAAATTGAATAAATATAACAAAATTGATCTTCCAAGCTTGGACAACACATTCAAATTCCCAGGCAGATGTGCAAAATCTTGGAAGTTATATTCCATCATCTCTGGAGGCCACTAAACCGAGAAGGCTGCTGTATACACTCAATAATTATTCTGCATCTTCATTTCTGAAAATTATAGTGACATGTTTGTGTTTTCCTATAAAAAAAATAGGGAGAAGTGTAATGAATGCCACCTTTCTGACATTCTGAAACCAGAAGAAGCTAAAGCAATAGAAATGCCAGTCTTTTAATCTTATCAATATTTTATTCATAATTTCAGTGTCAAAAAGAGTTTACAAAAAGGAAAGAAAATAATTGCTACTTGTACCAAGCAGTTGTCGAATAGTGAACATGCAAGAAAAAGAATGTGCAAAATTTATACAGAAGGATTTTCAGTAGCCTGAAAAAAGGCTGCACGAAAGGATTTTTAAAATTACATAATGAGGTGGGTCTTTTTTATCGTTATCACTCCTGTATGTTATTTCAATTTTAAAAACCCTCTTAAACAAATATACAAATATAGGCAGAGATATATATATATATATACATATTAGAATCTAAAATGAAAACTTGCAAAAATTACAAAATACAGTAAAAGGTGATTTAATGGACCATTGGGAGGAGTGTGCCTATTAAATCTGAATTTGCCTCATTTGCATAACTAAAGTAGGATAATTTGCAGTAAAACCTTAAATTATTTGACATATCCTCTGCTAACTGGACAAAATGGATATTAATCTGTTAAATGAGAGTGAAATCTAATAGAAACCCAGTATTTGTGCATTGTACTCAAAGTATACATTTAAACCAAGGTCCATTAATTTATGGCATTACTGTTACTCGTTTTGGAACTGAATTCCTGATATTATGTACAGCAAAATTTGTAATATTTGTCAAGACTGTGCGTGAGTCAAGGCTTTAAGTTATTGTTGATTTAACCATGGTTTGTTAGCCAAGCCACAAATGACTAACTTCATGTATCCTGATACACTGTAATCTACAATTTACAATCCTTTCGTGGCTGGATTCTTGAAACTAAGATCACTGATTACCACAAGAAGTGATATAATAGCTTAGCCTGGCGTTTCTCAACCGTTACAACTTTAAGAAGTGCAGAGTTCAGAAATTCTGGGAGTTGAAGTCCATACCTCTTAAAAGTTGCTGATGTTGGCTTAGCCTAATGCCTGAAATTGTAGAAGCAGAATATAAGTTTGGTATAGGAGAATCTTCTCTATTAAATTTCTTCAAGAAAGAGAAATAAATTACATAATAGCGTGGATGAGTAAACTCTGGCAATAGAGTAATCTTCCTTGCTCTTCAAATATTGTGGATCCTACAGTATTTATAACAGTATTTATAAGAAGATCACTGACATCAGTATTTATGTGATAGGATCTAATCCAAGATTCCAGAAAGGTCCTTTTAGAATACATTTCCTGCAGATTTCCCCAGCTCTGATCTAACCACCATCTATTTTTTAATCTCAATCTGTTTTAAAAAAGGATAAATAAAGAATAATTTAAACAGGAGGATGGAAGAACTGGGGTAAAAAAAATATTTCAAGGGTATTTCCGATGTACTATCTGGTTCCTATCACAGAATACGAGTGAACATAAAATACTAACAAAACAACAAAGCCATTTCGGAAGACAGATACAGGTAGTCTTCGACTTATTACCACAATTGAGTGCAAAATTTCTGTCACTAAGCGAGGCATATGTTAAGTGAGCTTTGCCCCATTTTACAACCTTTCTTGCCACAGTTCTTAAGGGAACCACTGCAGTTGTCAAAGTTAGTTGAGTGAATCCAGCTTCCCCATTGTTTCTCAGAATGTTGCAAAAGGAGATCACATGACCCTGGGACACTGCAACCATCATAAATATGAGTCAGTTGCCAAATGTCTGAAATTTAATCACATGACCCCGGGGATGCTGCAATGGTCGTTAAGTGTGAAAAACGATCATCAGTCACTTTTTTCAGTCCTGTTGTTAACTTTGAATGCGCATTACACCAACTGTTGTAAATCGAGAACTACCTGTATTAAGTTCAGCACTGTAAGAGTAAACATTACAAGATTTCCAGGTCCAAATTTTTGTGGAATAAAGCTCGAATGCTGAAAATACACGCTTTTGGAGAAAGTTGGGAAACGATGATCAAATCTGGGATTGCACTTGTGGCGCATTTCCATGCAAGAGAACAATTAGCGCTTCTGCCAAAAAGAAAATTGTAGCCATCATTTTCATGGTTGGTTTTACTAGTTTTAATGTGGCTCCTTGGTTTCTGGGCTTAGTTGCACTGATTTTGTGTTATTTTGTATCCTGCATGGGGATAGTTTATAAATATCTCCAAAGTTTTGGATTATGGAAATGGGAAAAACCTGGAATTGCAACAAGTTATTAGCCATCAAATGTTTGCAAAGATATAGAAGATACAGAATCTGCTATAATGCAAAAGTATTTTATCTGGCAAGTGTTTGAATTTGCTTCCGGTTTTTTTTCCAGATTCCTATTCCTTATCCTCCTCAAAATAGTTTTATACCTCTTATCACAAAAAAGATTCCAGAGTGGTTCACGATAATATAAAAAAATAATAATTACAAAACCAAAATACAAAACAGATAATATGTTGATGGTGTCTTAATAGATATCTAATTTTTTTAAAAAAACCAGTGCAGCTAATTCTCTTTTTTTTTCTGCTGACCTGGATACTTTTATGGAAAGGAAAAAGACAAGTAACAGTGAAAAGGTTTGAAGCGAACAATTAAAAAAAAAACATTTTGCATTTTGTACATTATAGCAGAATTTTAGACTGCCAAATCTTAAAACAAAGAATCATGGTAGGTGAAATAGATAGGACACTTTGAAGTCATAAAAGCTTCATATTGACAGCAGGACAGTATTTCTGCCAACAATTTAGCCAACAAGGGTAACTGTTTTCACAAAGCACGGCAAGATTTTGTGCTAAAATGAACCATCAACAGGTTGCTGAGAAAAATGTGTCAAGTCTGTTCTCCCTTTTGTAGTGCGTGAATAGGAGCCAAAGAAATGTCAAAGAAATACCAAGATTTCGTAGATACTTTACTGCACTTGGAAGATTCCAGGCCTGTTTCAAAAAAAGGCAAGCAGGACGTGTCTCTTTGTGTGTTTATGTATTTGTAGGGAAGGTTAGCTAAATGGCAGAGTAATTTTTTTGAAAGTAAGTGATACAGTAAATAAAAATGGCTTCACACAAACATATCTACACTTTAAACACACTTTAAAATCCCATTTCCCACGAGCATCTGCAGGAACTTGTAGTAATAGCAGTTTTGTCTTGCCATAACTTTTTGCAAACTTTTACAAAAGGGTTGGGCCTTGTCTCATAAGATTGCAATATTGCTTTCATCCATTTTGCACCCTTCTTGCAGATGACCACTAAGACTTTCTGATTCTTTTTCAATTCTCATTTGCATCTAATCATCTCCCAATCATAAAACCTTTTCCTCAATATTTGATACTCTTTTCTTCACCCCAATGGGGCTTTCTTTCTGACTCAGCCTATCTATTAAACACATGAGTTTCCTATTCACTCACAAGTAGTCCTTGTTTAGTGACCACCATTGGGATCGGCAACTAGCTTGTTAAGCGAGGCAGTCACGATAAGCGAAACTGTGACTGTTTACAACCACAGTGAAGAGCAGAAGCTGCTAAGCAGGGCAGTTGTTCAGTGAGCCACGCTCACTTTTTTTTTGCCATGGTGGGTAAGCAAATCGTTGCAGTTGTTAAGTGAATCACATGGTTATTAAGCGAATCTGGTTTCCTCTATTGATTTTGCTTATTGGAAATTAGCTGGGAAGGTTGCAAATGGCAGTCACAAGACCCCAGGATGCCACAACCGTCGTAAATAAATGCCAGTTGCCAGGCGCCAAAATTTTGATCATGTGATCAGAAGGATATTGTGAGAAGTTTTAAACGCTACAAAAGGGTCGCTGTTGTACCTTTGTCACTAAACAGATGATTGTAAGTCAAGAACTACCTGTATTCCAGTCTGACTTCCTATTTTCCTGACCACATTAGTGCCTCAAACCCTCAACCTCTGATGCAAAGACGATGCCCAAATGGGAATTTTTCCTACTATACTGTGGGAATGCCTCAAGGACTAAGGTAATGTCTTGGTAATTCAGACACTCTTTCTCAGCTATAATGAAATCTGAATTTGAGACTAGAAATGTCATTATCCTGTTTCCCCCAAAATAAGACCTCTCCGGATAATAAGCCCAATTGGGCTTTTGAGTGCATGTGCTAAAAGAAACCCTCCCCGAAAATATTGCAAGACACCAGCAGCCATGATGTCACCACGCTTGCCTCCTGCACCCCAAAAACAACAGGACCACCCTGAAAATAAGGCCAAGTGCTTATTTCAGGGGTCAAAAGAAAATAAGACCCTGTCTTATTTGGGGGGAAACACGGTACTTGGATATGTAGCATGCATGTACAGTATCTCTATTTTTTCTTAAAATCAGATATGCTATCTACACTCAGGATAACCATTAGGAAGAGGCTTCCTGGCTGACTCATTTTTTATCCCAAGAAGGCTCTGGGTATAACCTGTGTGGCATTACCAATTTTAACATCAAATGATACGGAAACTGCCAAACTGGGTTCCTGAAATCATAGGATGCCCTCTAAGGATAAGGTGGTTATTCCTGGGTTGCAAAGTGCGCAACGACCAGCAGATGTCAGCAAAGAGTTAGTTTAAGAAATGGTGACTCTTTGCTGACATCTAGCGGCTGCTCGTATTTTGTAGCCCAAATATTGCAATCCTCATTGAGAGGTGACCTTACACATTGAAATTGCACAAAGATTCTTGGTGTTTTTTTGTTAAGATAATGAGTAAACATCTCTGCATTGCACATGAAGTTGACAAATCGAAACATGATGTTTTTAGTAAAATCTCAACTCAAGTAGTTTATCCAGTTTCCTAAGCCACATAGTCCGCCTTCAATGGTATCCAAGATCGACCTAGGGAAATTTCCAAATTTCCCAGAACTCAGTTACATTTAAATACCACAAAAAAAGGCAGCCAGATAAATTAAAACTTAAGTGTTAACAAAAAGCAGCACCAGGAAAGCTACTATCAACAGTTTCTTTTAAACAACAACAACAACAACAACTCTTTAGATGACGTACAGATGCTTCATACCACACACTGGTTTATTTGGAAAGCTGTTTCAAGAGGTAGAAACTGGGATATTATTTTATCTGGATTCAGTTCTTTTTTTTTTTTAAGAATAAAGGGATATATCATTGTAAATCTCTTTTTTAAAAAAAGTTTTAGGTATAAATATCTTCTGCAAACAAATTAAAAAGCAAAGTTGGGAACCGTTCCAAGTTTTAACCTGACGGTAGCGTGTCATTCCTCCAGCTTTGAAAATCCAGAAGACATTTCCAAATATTTGCAAGGATGACTCTTCTTTGCATTTCCTAAATGGATTGTCCCCGACAGCTTGCACACCAATTCTCACCAAGCTTAATATTTACAAAAATCTTGCCTTTTTACATATGTCCAACTAGGAGGCTATGTTCTCTCAAGAGTCCAAGGCCACGAGATTATGGCTCCTTCTGCCTCCTAAAAGTCTCTTGTCTTCTCTGACTCAGGAACAACCAAGCCGTGTTATTTACAAGCTATGATACAAACTGAGCCATCTTGCTCAGCTGCGTAAAGAGTCCCATCGGAACAGTACGACAGGGAGTGAAATTATTTGGGAATTCAGAATCTGAACAAGTTGATAAAGTCTTGCGGCGAAAGAGCAGTCAAGCAGCTTTCGGGGTTGTTAGCCGTACAGGGGTGATCGGTGCCCTACAAAACAAGAACATCAATATCCTTAAAAGTTGTATCCGGTAGTTCTACAAGCACCAGGAAGACAAATAGCACACTAAATGCTCATCAATCAACTCATTCATCGATCATATTAAGGTATGCAAAGTTGGTTTAAATTCACATCCTTTTAAATTTTTTTTACCCCTTTATTACTTTATAGGCAGTGAACATACAGTATATCACAGAAGTGAGTACACCCCCTCACATTTTGTAAATATTTAGGTATATCTTTTCATGTGACAACACTGAAGACATGACACTTGGCTACAATGTAAAGTAGTGAGTATACAGCTTGTATAAGAGTGTAAATGTGCTGTCCCCGGTTCCACCACAAAACCACGTTCGACTAAACCGCACTCAACGAAACCGCGTAGCTGACGTCATCAACAGCGCGACAACAGCGCAGAGACAGAAGCACGCTGTAAACGCTAAACCTAAAATTAACCCCTAAACCTAACCCCCCTAAACCTAAACCTAATCCTAACCCTTAACCTAACCCTAAACCTAATCCTAACCCTTAACCTAACCCTAAACCTAACCCTAACCCTTAAC